ATTTATATCTCCTCAACGAAAGGTCTTAGAGAGCTGGAAGTGGTCTTGTTTTGTAGAGGACACTTTACTCTATAATGTACAATATTTAACTCAAAAATAAAAAATATTTCTAAAAAAGTGTAAAAAGGGAGGGGTTACCTTTAATTTTCTCTCACGGTACGCAACAGAATTTGATAATATATATACCACTAGATAGAGGAAATCTCCCTGTACAAACCTACATATATCCCGTTCTGGGGTCAAAAATTACCATGAAAGTCATAGTCGCCTTTTAACGTAAGAAATTGACGTTTACCCACTACACACTTCACGACTTTCACCTGTGATCACATGCGAAAAATATGACGCGAATAGTTTTCGTGAACAGTTCACACGTTGTTACAAGTGAAATATATTTTTCACGCATGCCGACACATCATTTTATGATGTTCATATGCGACCACAGTTCATTTCACAATATTTACGCGTGTACACGCCATTTTATATACTAAAATTTTCCCCTCGAACTTATGATGAACATTGGAAAAACATTTTGAAATTTGCAAAGATCCTGTGAATGTCAGTTATATCCTGTAGGTTTTTACAACATGCTGCTCAATCAAAAATTTTCCTCCGCGTTGTCGGATATATCTTGCAGCATTTTTTACTCTGCTAACCCTGCGCGATTTTTATCACTTGTAGTACGCTAGATATCTTATCCTACAAGGTCTGTAGGGTTTTTTATCTTCAAGAAAAGAAACAGCAGCTCGCAGGAAAAGTTGTTATAGGATCAGCGTGAAAGTAAATATAGATAAAAAAGGTATTGTTTAAGATGAAACGATAAAATTGTTGAGAAAAAGCTAAGGAAACGTTCCAAAATATATTTGGGTCGCTATTCCTCTATTCTGCAGTTACTACAGAATATTTCATTTTGTACTAGTGTTACTATATACAGCTGGTATATATATATCAAGCTTCATTTTCTTTTCTCATTGTTTGTACTTCTTCAGCGACAATCAATCGTCGTGTTTCAAAAGATTATTCATTTATCAAGCTAGCAACAACACATTTAAAGCAAAAAAAGAATATTTCTTTTATAGTTTCATTCTAGTATCATATTGTTTCGGCTTTCTTAGAACAAAATATATTTCCTAATGCAACGAACATACAATAGTATCATGCTGTTTATTATGAAAGTAAAGACTTATACGAAAATTAAGTTTAAGACACCATCCTGATCATATTAGAATTTTATTACTAATATTCAGGAGAAAGTTTTCTGTTAAGATAGTCATTCGTTTGATTCGAAGACAGACTTCGTTTTTGTTGAAGGTAAACGTTTTCGTTTCCTCGTTGATAATGTATTTGATCGATGCATCCATATCACATCTTAAATAGTTTTTGCCGAAATATATATTGTAATTGACATTTATCATCACCAAATATTGTTGACGACTGATTCACTTTCCAATTTTGTTATTTTTGGACATATGAATTCTGTTTGATGAACAATTAGTTACATGTCTCATTGAAAAACACAATGTCGATTTAAATCTATCGTAAGTAGTGAATTCTTTGTAAACTTCATGAGAGAACGTTGAATCAATCAATGATATTAGAGTTGGAGCATATGCATGTTCATCTACAGTAACGGTTTCACATGGCCCTTGTCATTTCATAAAAATATGACTACAGGAGTGTCAAAAGTCAACTGTGCTATATCGGCAAATGTGAAACACTAAACGGTAACATATGAAGCGTTAGTATCATCAGAGATGTTGAAAGAAAACCTCCATCATCTACCGTTTACTGTCCCGAAATGTTACGGTAAATGTGTAACAACGTCACGTTTTACTGTAACATTTCGGGATACTGTTCTCTCTAATCAAATATACCATATATAATTTATTGTAAAAAAAAAAGAGAATAATCTTGCACTCGCACAAAAAAGATAAAAGAAAAATTTTAGTCCTTTTCTATCTACTAGTATTTATAATTAATTGAACTATAAAAGTAAAAACTATACTAAAAATAAATAGAATAGAAAAATGAACTAAAGACTGAGGTGAAAGTAAACTGTTAATCAATTGATGATTAGTACCAAACTGATTGTCTAAGCGTAATTTTAAATCATGTATGGTATCTTCATTTCGAGTTACACGTCGATTAATTTTCTCTAATTCATTATCAAAATATTTTCCATATGAATTATCACTATTGTCGTCATGTGAACCCCTGCGTAGATGATTTGATATCCTTCTATTATTGACAACCAAGTCATTATCATTTTTATCATGTCTAACACTATCTGAACGTTTTCGTACAAGGGAAGGTGAAGGACCTCGTATCATGTTAGATGTTGCTGTTGCTGTAGCATCCGCCATTGAACCACTGCGACTCGCACCTGATGTATACAATGGTGCATGATGTCGTTGTTTTGTGGAAATTATAAAATTACTTTCATATTGAACAATGTCATTATAAGAATCCCACGGTCTTAAACTATACGTAAAGATAGAATTAATTCAATGGGTAAGTCAACTTTTTATGTTAATCCTTACTCTGCATGTAAATATATCCATTCTTTTGATACAGGATCTAGTATGAACATCTGAGGTTTCCATTCGTTACCCGTTGTTTTTAATTCTTTCAACTGTTTTCGTTGTTGTTCTTCAACAATTGTTTTCTCTTCAGTAGCTAAATTTTGATCATTTTGTCTAATAGCAAATGTCACACGTTGCCAAAGTCTTTAAAATAAAAGGAAACATGTATGTTGAATGGTAAATAAAATGTTGTCTTACTTTTCTGATTCATTATCATTTTGTTGTTCGATAGGTACAACAAAACGTTTCAAACGACTTTTTACTACGGATGGATTCACTTTCCAAAGAACGGAACGTGTCTAAAATACATCATCATAAAATCGAACTTAAAATACGAGCGAATTAAATCATACTCACGCTCGTTGCTTTATCAATAATATCAATTTGATCATCCCAGTGCCCGATGATTGTTGCTAGTGTTTCCTTACCCAGTTTTATTTTTCCCTCTACTTGATTTGTTAACTCATTACCACCAATAAAAGGCTATTTTAAAATAAAACTCTCTAATTGTTAACGATGTCATCAGAGAAGAAAGAGGAAATAACTTGTAACACATTTTCTTAAAGATTTTTGTAAGATAAACTTATACCTTTAATCTGAAATCAATTTCAGCTGAGTAACGTGTTTTTTCACATATAATCTGAACACGGCCACCCAGTTCCATTTGTAGTTTCCCAATAAGAATTCCTAACATAAAATATCAAAAACATATTTGATTGATCGATTGAAGAATCTGAGTCAAACAATCGACATACCTTTGCAATTTGCATATGGTAATGTCATGGAGTAGTCTTCTCCTTGATTAAGTAATGTAAGACGAGCAGAGCCATCAAGAATGGCAGATACTGAGTTGCCTGAAATGAATACAAGTTCAAATTAAAACAAAATTAATAATCTAATACAACAACACACCATAGAATTTCGATCGTGCCAAGATAGTCCCTTGTACGCAAAAACCTTCTTTTCGATTTGAAATATAAAATGCATTCACGGGCGGATGGTGGGAGATCTAAATGCGATAAAATATCAGTCAGAAAAAACATTTGCCTTGTTTTCTATTCACAATATTATTTAATCATTTTATCATTTCGTGACGCATTGACATAGGGGTAAAGATGACATACAAAAGCGCCTAAGCGATCAGACAAAATGGATTTCAAAAAGTTATTGACCTTTATGCAAGTCACATCTACGCTTGAAAATAAATATGCCTCAGATAAGATGCGAACAGCTTTCCACATCAACAGTCTGATTACAAAAAATTATTCTGGTTTAGTCGTCTGTAAAATATACATTACATATATTTTTAGATTAATTTCTGTAAGGCTACATGTCGACAATTGAACCTCAAGTATAAATCTATAGTTTACAAACAGAAAGTATTGAATCAAAATATTATTCTCTGATTATTTATTTTTCACAGAAAATGATACTACATTCATGCAAAATATATATAGTGTTTCTACTTATATTTCCTTACACATTTGAAAAGAGCTTTATTGACTATAGTGAAAAATTAATTAAAAAAACTCATTTATTAGTAGTGTCTCAAATAAGAAAAAAAATTATTTTGAATTAATCTTGTTTTGAATCCACCCAATATAAACACTGACACGGGTGTAAATACCTACAATTAAAAGCAAAAAATGTGAAAAACTTCGGTTCAAACTTGTGCCAAACAAAATAAAGATTTCTCATTTTCGGTTGCAATATATCATTTATATCGAATGATCGTGCAAGAGCGCGGATCCATAATAACTAATGAGCCATATTCACATCTTGATGAGGTTATTGACATTGTTATTTTCCGTTCTGCCTGTGCAATACACGCAGTCATACGGCCAGCTTTCAAACTTTTTGACAGTCAGCACACAGCACCCTCACCAGGATGTGAATATAACTTATTAACAGACTTAAAAATTACTTAATATTTAAAATACCTGGATAATCGATTCTAGCGCAACCTTCTCCATAAGAAGTAATTCCAACCAGTGTCCATCGACCATATTTGTCTATTAGCTGAAGTGGTCCACCTAAAAAATTCAAATATAATACAGACTGTTAAAGGGACCAGTGGTCATAAGGTTCAATAGAAGCAAAAAAAATAATAGTGAAATCCAAAAATGATCGTATATAATAGATGAATAATTTACCACTATCTCCTTGACATGTGTCTCGACCACCTGCACTTAGTCCCGCACAAATTTGTCTATCGTTATTGAAATTGTCGTAGGCGTCTACACAGTCTGGAAGAACTTGAATGTTCGCTTGTTGAAGAGTATTTGGTAAAACTCCATTTTCACTTGTGACACCAAAACCGGTTATAATAACACTTGTATAATCTGGTGTTGGATATGAAGGCGTCGGTAAACAAATAATATTTACAAAATCACTCAGTGGAACAGCATATTGTAATCTCAATATGGCAATATCATATCCATATTCGACATCTCGAAAACGTTCATTGACAAACAAACGTACCACCTGATAAGCAATGCCAGTATAGTCATTCGAATTAGAATCTATGTTATGTGCACCAACTCTCACTGTGTAATCGCTAGGCACGGATGAGACACCAGAAATACAGTGAGCTGCTGTAACCACATGTCGAACATCAATAAGCGTTCCTCCGCATGTAAATTGTCCCTGTACATTGATAACAGCTTGCCATGGCCAAGCATAACGGGAAGCACGATTACCACCAACAATTTTTGAATCGAAAAAAGATTTCATTTGACCACATTGTTGCTTATTATTAATACATTCAACAAACCAAACTAGTAGCAGTTGTACAACGAACGAATAGACAAGTGCGTTCATCGACATAATTATTTGAAAATAACAGAATTGAACGTAACTATATATGGCTTTTCTTTGTAGTATACGTCCGACGTCTATTTTTTCAAACAGACATGTCTAACTATTCTTTTCAGACAAATTTATCTTTTTTTTCGTACACATTATATGAAAGAAATTATATTCAATAACGTCTGAGTCAAATGATAACTATAAGCCTGAAGAACTTATACAAAAAAAAAAGACCTTTATTCGAGATAACTTAGGCGGTTGATTATAATCGATAAATTTTTCCTCTACTATCGATTACATTTCATCTTGTAGAATATGTATGGCTTAGACTAATGTAACTCCAAATGTACACTTATATTAGGAGTTTAACACTACTATCCATAAATATAATGAAAATCTCATACTTCTACATTGTATGATTATAAAACTGTAATATCAATAGTATAGGATCTAAAAGCGGACCTGAATAGAGAGCCTAAAAATGTGTTTAAGGGAAATTATGCTGAAGTTTTATTACTACAATTATGTATTTTGTAAATTTATTATTGAGTAAATATTACATCAATTTTTAACCTGTATATTAACTCACTAAAATGAAATATGATAACTAACCTGCTCGGATATATAAAATGTTTTACTATCTGATTTTGAATGATACCAATAACATCTGTATAGTTCACCTATCACTGGGTTATAAGGTTTTTTTAAACCCTATATAACAAATATAAAAAGTTGATAAAGAAAGTTAATCCTTTCCACATTACTTTTGGTTTCTTATAAAATCCAGATAAATAAAATTTTACAACTGTCTTCATGCGTGTATAGGGGTCAGAACTGTGGATTGCTCTAAAGATTAATAAAAAGGCATAAATATTATGACTTCTGTATCATTTGATGACCTACTCTTCAAGAAGATCAGCATGATGATAATAATCGGACAATTTTTCAAGAAACGATCGTGGCTCCAAAATGAATGTAGGAAGAACAACTTTAGATAAATCCATTCCAGGACGAACCTAAACAGAGCGCATAGGACTTCAGTAATTTTATCGTTCGGTTTATTACGAACTTGTTTGACTAGATGGAAAATAAGACTTTTATTCTCATCACCAACATCCTCTGTTTGCGCAATGTTTCCAAGCTTCAAAGAAATAAAAATAACAATTAACATCTCGCTTGACGCCTTTCTTTTTGAAAAACTCAGTTACCTCTCCCATTTCCTCTGGAGGAGCAGCGATGTAATATGTTTCTTCATGTTTAGTTTCGCATTCATCTAATTTTTCCAACGAGGTTTCGGAATGACTAGTACTGCCCGTTGCTTTACTTTCTGCGCTAACATCACTCATTCGATCACCTTCATCCAAATCTAAACGAAATGACATTATAGATTTCATTAAGATCACCATAATACTTGCCATCTTTTATTTCAACTCGATTAAGCTCAACGTCATTTTCGGCATAACTTGTATTGAAATTGCTCGTCTCCGTCATACCGATTGATGATACTTGATTATAACTTGTGGCCGGAGTCATTGTCTGCATATCATTTGGTTTTTTCAATAAACTTCCACATTTAATTGTCATGTCAAGTGCATCAAGCCAGATGGTACCTTACGTATGAAAATTGAAAGAGGTATAAAACGATTTCTGTTCTTTACACACGCAATCAAACATACCTGTATTCTCATCTGAAGCGCGAAATATAAGATGTGTCATTGGTAAAGGAAATGTTAGAGCTCCAACAGCTTCTCCATTGGGACCCCTAGCAGACCAAATTGATTTTTCGAGTGGATGAAATATTTTGAAACAGAATCCATGTTTTTTTGATGGCCGTTGGATAACTAAAAGAGCATAATTAGCATTTACCTTTTGAGAAAAGGAAAAGAAAGCTAAAATTCTTACCTTGACAAGAATTAAGCACAACTGTCCCAACCCAAACGCTATTCTAAATAAAACAAAAAATATTCATTGCTACCTGAATGTACGATCTTCTGACAAACATACCTTCTCTTGTGGACGTTTGTATAATAGAAGAAGACCAGGTTTCAGTATCACCCACAGTTTAGTCCAGTCGCGTAACGTACCACGTACTTTTAGCCAATCAGCCAAAACAATAACCGGTGAATCTCGAAGCACAGCAACTAATTCATTTGTAATACGTTTTTTTTCTGTTAAATAATTTTGTTTTTGAGCCTTAAAGAGGAGAAAAGTACTGTACATTTTTAATCAAGCATAAAGTGAAACTACTGCTGAACCTTATAAGAATATCTTGTACGATCCATTGAAGTACTCAAATCACTGTTTGATCCCAAAGAATCAAATGTATTACTGGGCTAAAGGAAGAAAATATAGTATTGATATAACACTGATAGTGCCACTAACGTATCATACCTTATTCACGTTACTACTATTTATTAATTTCATTGATAAGTCTAAAGCAACAAAATGCCATTGATGCATTCTCAACTATATTTTCTAATTCATATCAAGCAATGATTTTACCTGAAGGGAATTCTTCTGATTTGATCTGCTCGTTCAAATTTGAATGGAACGAGCCAGAGTGTAGACTTGTCTCATCAGCAAGCGAATGTATGCTTTCTGAATGTTGTGATGGTGGAGATGCTGATGACGAAAATGCTGGAATTTCATTTATTTCTTTGTTTGATGAGCCTTTCTCGGAACGAACAATCTTTCTACTCGTAGGAAGTACCTGGTGTGCTGAAATGCACGAGATGCATGAGTAAAATCTTTTCATTCATTTACCACAAAGTACGATATACCTTGACTGTTGTTTTGATTAATCTATAGAAAAAAGAACAGACTTATTTTAGAATTTGACTGTATGAGTAGGTTATTGACCTGTTTTCCATTTTCATTCAGTTGGGAATTACTATTCATTATCCTTGACGTTGATGAATTCTAAATAGAAAACAATCTCAAGCGAATTGCAGGTGTTTATTTGATATTTCTCTGTGTTACTTGATCTTTTGGTACTGAACTATTGTTTTTTTCATCAAAAAAATTCGATGACTCGCAACAACATGATAAAAAAATGTTTGGTTCCCGGTTTTTCCGTTGCCACCACTTGATCATCATTTTACATACTATCTCCAAGAAACTAGTCTTTTTTTTGTTCTCCTTTTAATCTCATCCTTGTTCAACGTAAATTGTCGTTTCCTGATGTTTCCTCGTTTTTTTTTCTACTTTTATTTAATCACGTTTCTCTACTCTTTTTCTTTTCTCAATCGTTTTTTCTTGTTGTTGTTACGCTACATTTGTGTACACCTATCTCTTACCGTACAAAATGGACTACGTACTTCTCAATTAACATCATTGTTTTTCTTTCTCTTTTGGTACTCATCCTCATTTCTTTTTCGTACTTTTCTTATTTATTTTTTGCTTATTAGACTCACAACACCTTTGTTCCTGACCATAAGGTCGTCATACGCATGATGATTAAGCGTCATTCAACATTTGAATGATGATATTATTATTATTATTAATTGAAAAGCTAAATCTAATTTAAAGAGACAATTTAGCTTTCAAAAATAATAAAAATATATTTATAGGCGTAAAGGTGAGCTACACGTTTAACTTATTGACGAGAGAACATTTTAGAGCTTGTTCTATATCGAATGAATGATCAACCTTTCAAACCTAAATGGGTGCTAAATACAGTTTGAACCAGAATTTGATTATCTATTAATATACATGATTTTTAGGTTAAATTCTAGCTTACATTGATCGTGCGATTGAGCATTCTATCTTGAATAATAATATTGAGTTAATGTGCTAGAAGTAGTTATGTATTCATCCATGTTTTTGCTATTAGTTTTCACATTAGACAAGGTACTAAAAGCTAAGAATCTTAATTTGTTGACATGGTTTAGTAAACACCGTGTTCAAAGTGCATGCGATTTGTACTGATTACAATGTGTTCTTCGAGAAAGAAATTTGTTATTCGAAAGGCGATTATAAAATGCACTGTTAAACATCTGTGCTATGAAAATGAGCACAATAATTATCAAAAAGCCTTTATACTTTTCATTTCTCACCTGTCCGCCGTCAAGCAACGGACAATTGCATTCTTTTGTAGTCACATTTGATAAGCCTTCAACAAAATATATCATTTCAATCGCAAAATAGTACTAACACCATTCATTATTATTCTTCGTTATTTTGTTTCTTTACCTTGTATCGTCTAGGGTTTTGTCGTCTCTTCAACTAAATTCAATTTATCTGAAACAACATACATCTCATAACTAAGTGCTTTCAACTCATTGATAATCAGAAATAGTTCGAAAGGGACACAGGATGTGCTATACTGTTGCTTTTTAAACGCATTCGTGCCAGTTAACATAAATGAGCACTAAACACAGCTCACTCCGATGTAGCATGATTTTTTTTCTACGTACTGATGTAAGTATAAGGCGTACTTTATGGGTACTTGTTTGGCACCGGCAACACTGTTCCACGGTATGTTAACGACCTCCTCGATAGAAATCTCTTTTGTTAACCATAAGTCGGATCTCCAAAAAAATTTTCAAGGAATAGTGGCCGTGTCAAAATATGGTGACGAAATTTGTCTTTTGGCTGTATCTATCTCCGATTGCGCGATATCGCCACAACAGCGATCAGAATAGGTCTGTTCGTATTTTCCAAATTCTCCGATGAGGAAGATGCTGGAAAACTTTGATCGGTTTTAAAATGAAGCCAACACATTTGGCTAGAGGCACATGACAGAGACGGATTTTTATCTAATCCTTTATTCGTTATAAATAAAACCGTAAGATATTTAAATGCTGAGTGGAGATTTTTAATTTCAATTTTTTAATTAAGTATTTGCCTTAATGATTTTTGACAGGCATTGGAAGTTCAAAATCTTGAAAAGCATCTGTGAACCTTTCAAAAATCTTTCTCTCTCTTTAACAGAGCAAAGTTCAAAAGTCGGCCTCTGTCAAGATCTAGCCAAATGTGTTGACTTTATCATAAAACCAATTTATGTAAATCAAAGTTTTCCAGCATCTTCCTGATCGGAGAACTTGGAAAATACGAACGGTCCTGAATGAAATAATCGATTTTCAGAGAAAATGCTGTGCATTTGTTGAAGCATTTTAGAACTTGTAGAAAAATTGTTGTAACTTTTCAGCATAAAATCATATAGAATTGTGCTAGCTCTTATTTCGATCGAAAAAGTTTGCTCAACAAATTTAACTACTCAAAAAACATTTTACTTTTAACATTTTTTTGCAGGAAGTTACTACTTGTCCTTTTATACCATAAAGTTAAAAATGAGAAAAACGAAATCAACAAAAATATTTTCATAGCAATTTCCATATGTTTATTACTAAATAAAAAACAATGAAACCGATCAATATCAGTAGATAAATAATTTTAATCTTCATCATCCATTGCAGCATATTGTTGGTCTTCTTCATCCCGACACTTCCATTCTGTCAACAATTTTCGAATTTCTGGACCGATTTTGACATGACAATGATGTCGTATCAATTCAAGAAGAGCTTGTTTTTGTTCTAAATAATATATTAGTATACATGAATGTGGATGAATAGCATATTATACACAAAAGAGCATACCTGTTGATATATCTTGACGGTAATACTGAACAAACGATAATAATGCTTGATGCCAAAGAACAGGCAATTCACGCTCATCTGTACGAAATCTAAATAATATATTGACAAATAAAAGAAAAACAATCTGCTTCTTTCAGAAATATTGTTACTTAATAAAATGATGAACAAGTGCATCAACAACTCTGAATGGTAAAGCATAACGTTTCTCAATAAGTGTTCGAATAAATATCGAATTAGCACCAGAATAATTCATTTCGGCTATTTTTAATAATGCTGCTGCTGAATGTAACATTGGAACAGACGTTTTACCCATTATACTAGAAACAATAACGGCTTCACGTAATGTACATGTACCAGACTACAAAAAACAAAAAAGATTAACATATTTTCTAAGAGTTCGAGTAGGATTCAAATGAAATTAACCTCGCATAATGGTAGAATAATGCCTTTAAAAAATGCGCTTGATTTAAATAGAGCTTTTCTTAATGCCTAAAATAATAAAAAGGTCAAAAAGCAGTTTTCAGATGTAAAAAGTAGCGTAATCGATGAATAAAGTACAATTTTATCTCTAACGTAAGTAATCCAAATAGATAGCCGAATCGTATGTTAAAGATTTTTTGCATTCGGCATAAGAACTTACCATGTAAAGATGAAAATTAAGTTTTTTGTATTCCTCAATGTCATCACGAATACGGGGTAACAGAATAATATTGTAAAATCTGAAATAAACAAAAATGTAATTTTTTACTGGAATATTGATTAAGAAGATAACAGACCGTTGTGCCATTTTTGCATTCATATTTGAAGCAAATAGTCGCGTAGCCTGATAAACAGAAGCAGCTGTCCATTTTTCGGGTTCTGTTATGAGCAAGACCTGAAAAAAAAAGAAATTTCTACTCTAAAGTATAATGTGTAAGGAAAAATAAATGATGTACTTGTTCCCAATTTGCTAAATTTGGAAGAATTTTAAATGCTTTCGGTATTTTTCCACTTCGGTAACGTGATAAAATTTCACCAACTTGTTCGTACATATTCGTTATTCTTGGATCAAGTTCTTTCACAGAAGATCCTTTATCTATTCAAAAAGGAAATCATGCCCGATAATAGCAAAATATATTAAGGATACAACCCTCCTCTTTTTTTGAGTTTCTGGGAAAGTGTGAAGGAAGCATCGGATAGATTTGACATTTTTACCAGAGCTATACCTTTATAAAAGAAAATTCATGTATTTTTGCTCAGAAATATCTGCAAAGAGCTTTCTAAATCGAGTTTCTCATTCCCAATCATTACCACCCTCCGAAATTTTGTCCAACTGAATTGGAACTTTTATTAGATGATGTTTCTCAGACGTATTTCTGTAGAAATTTTATTATCTTTCTTTCTTTACGAGTTATAGAAAAAAATACGACACCCTGTGTGAACGAAGTTTTAGGTTTTAAAAACTACAAAAGTCTAAGGGCAAAAGCCAAAAACCAAAAGGGCCAAAAATACACCGAGACAATAGTAGTGATAAAAATTTCAACTCAATCGGACAAAATTTTCGGAGGGTGGTAATGATTGGCAATGGAAAATCCGGTTTCTCAGAAAGCATCTCTTCAGACACTTCTGAACAAAAACAAATGAATTTTCTTTTTTCAAGTTCTAGCTCTGATGAAAATGTTTAATTTATTCGATGCTTCCTTCACGCTTTCCCAAAAACTCAAAAACAAGAGGAGAGCTTAATGATAAGTAAAAGTTTACCTGTCAACTGTGTTTCTATTTCAGTTTTCTTTTCTGTTAACTTTTCCTGAATAATATCAGCTAATAGCTTTCGTTGTTGTGGATTTACTGACATGAATTGTTTTAGTATGTTTTCATCTTCTTCATTAATCTATGATAGTTTAATTGAAAAGTTGGCAATAAAGAGATATATAATTCTTCAAAATCGACTTACGGGTATCTCAGAGGAATCATAGCGCGCTTCTTCCGCTACTAAATCAAATTCATCTTGTTCATCTTCTTCATTGTCACTGTTTAATCGATATCGTTTTGTGATTTCTGGTTTTAAAACTGAACCCTTTGGCTCGCTAGGAAAAAAAACACCAACGATGAATTATAATATTAATTGATGCTACGTACCGTGCTCACTGAGCATCAATAGGGAGATATTTATGACAGTGTAGTGTTTCAGAGTCACGAACTAACGTACACTTACGATTGTTGACTTATATTCAATAATTCATCAACCATTTCTGCTTGCTGCTGCCTAGCTTGTTGAATAATCTTAACTGATAAACGATCATCAATAACCTAAACAGAATTTTGAAGATAGTTAGACAATATTCATTAATGTTATTAATATAGAATACACACCTGTTCCCTCTCTTGTTCATCATCTTCAAAGTCCTCATCAGAACGTTTTCTTTTCTGTTTTAGTCGATTTGTTTTATTATTAACACTTCTATCTCGATCAATTTGATCGGAGAGAGCGCCGGGTACTTTGATTGGGTCACCATGGCGCCATTCTTTTCGATTTTTACTCATATTTTAGCTGTTACCTAAAATAATAAGCAGATAAGAATGCTAGATAGGAAAAATTCCACTGTTCGATTAAGATACTAAAAAGATTAGCAATTTGTTGATATTTCAATGCGATACAGCACTCATTCATGTTGTCTTAACAAAAGCATATTAAAAAATTTTGAGAAAGATGTCAATATTCTACCATTTTTGAAATTTCATTGAATACTCAAAATCTAATAGTATTTTATTATTTTATCAATTGAGTACAATAAAGCACATTCAGAGGTTTCATAATAAAAATTCTCAAAAAATGAAAACGTAGTGCTACACGTTTTTAAATTAATTATACATTAATGTTTTGATTATCAATCAAACGAAGAGAAAAACATCAACAATTTAACGCAAAACATAAGTTAAGCTAATTCAAAATATAAATAACAATGAAATAAATCTAGAAAAAATCACAAAAAATAACTATTGTCAAAAATTACAAAAAATATGCGATAGACATCTCTGTTTAAAAAGTAATTACGAAGATGGTGCTTTTTTGGCCAGTACATTAAGTTGATCACGTATACGAGTGAAATTGTCTAATACAAGTAAAAGAGTCTCTTTTGATAATTCAATCTGTAATGTCTCTTGCGTAGAACGTTCTTCTTGATTACTACTCGAATTTTTCATTGAATCTTTAACCTAAATATTAAATATTTCCCTCTGTATATTTTGTATTATTCTACAATAGATAACATACTCACATAAAGACAGAGAATACACGATGACTGAGTGCGCTGACCACCTGTGATATCGTGGTTCGGTGCAAGTTTCATATCGATATACCAATTAAAATTGTTGAGCTGTGGGAGCATCTAAAAATAAATGAAAAATCTCATTTATTTTCTCTATCACAGCTCAACACTTATAAAATTAAATAATAAAACGAAGATAAATCTGCTTTCTAAAATCTCCTTTACGATATGAACAAAACATGTACAAAAAACAGCAATAACAACAAACAAAAGTTATTTACATGACGAAAAGCGAAAACAAATTTATTTATGGCGATGGTGTCGATGACTTTTGTGATGATGATGATGATGATGGTGTCGGTGATGTCGTTCTTCATCACTGTGATCATCATGTTTTCGATGTTCTGGTTTATCTTCACTTTTGTCACGATGCCGCCGCGAATCGCTACCATTTTTTGTATAATTTTCCATCATTTGTTCGTTTGATTCCTTTTCAAGTTTAGTCGCTATCGTTTTATTGACATATTTACTGTACTTGATGTACTCTTTTTCTGTCACTAATTTAACATTGTATTGTGATAATGAAATAGGCGTTTGATCTTTTTTTCCAATAGCTAATACAACAGTAATTCTCGCCAAATCTTCATCGATCGATTGAATTTTACCATATAAATCACAATATCGGCCTTTTTCAATTAGTACACATGCACCATTTTCATAACATAGTTCTTTTTCATCTGAATTATTATTAGCATCTTTTTTCTGATTTTTTTTCAGTTGATTTATTTTTTCCAAAATTTTTCGATCAGCACCGAGACCCAGTCCACGTGGTCGCGATTGTAGTTCAATTGTTGCCACAGCTTTCTTGTTTGTAAGTCCAATACCAATATCTTCTTTAAAACCCATTCCTCTCAAAACTGCCATGCCTAGAAGGTAAAAAATATGGTGAAATTAATAGTAAGACATAAGCCAGGTATGCGCTGATAGGAAAGGGAGGATGGTGAGCATATCATCACTTCTTAATGCACTATCTCACAATTTTTTACTGTATGCCGAATCCGACAAAAGATAAATATTAATATTCCTACATCCATATAAATGATGAAGGAAATGTTCGATGATATCAACAGACATGCAAAATATCAAATGGAAACTTTACTGTACCGAATTCATCTATAGACACTTGATCATAATCGGCTTGTTCAACCTCTTCTTCCTTTTGTGCTTCGTGTTTGTCTTGTCCATCTGCTGTCAGCAATGTTGCAAATGTATTCACTGTGTCAACATCGATTCGTTCTACTCGTGGATGTCCATTCTCGGTTCGTTCGTTCCATACTTCATTTGCTAATTGTGCATCCAGTTGTAGTAGACGACGTGCTTCCACATCTAACTGTTCAATTTCATTTTCTGTTATCGTTGCTGTTGTTTTTTCGCTGGGTTTTGGCTTAATTCGCTCACGTAAACTCTGCTTTAATTTAAAGAATTTCTGATGTTCATTTTGTTGCACTGGTATAATAAGTATTTGTTTTTCGACAGGGGGCACTAAACTTTTCACTTCTTTATCATCGATTCCTACAATATATTCTCTTTTTTCGACATCATGCGTAGCATCATCAAAATGATTATTTTTCTTATCGATATGTCGCGTTGTGTCTAAAACTGCTGAACGTTTTGTTGTACCAAGTTTAAAGGCAATAACTTTCTTCTCTGTCATGGTGTAATGTTTTTTTCGTGTGAAATTCTTAGAAAAAAAATCTAAAACAGGTATCATAAATAAAATGAACAGCAATGATTATCCTTGAAAGCATGCAAAAACTATTTTTAAGCCATGATATACAATTATTCTTAGTCCTACTCAAAGAGGCACTTAGTCAACTAACGAATAAGAAATAACTCAGTATTATCAAATATCTTAAACTTATCTTGCGCCACATTTTTTTCTACATACTTTTAGTGGATTAATTGAACAGGTTCATAAACGGCATTTACAGGCGCTCCAGTAATCAATGGTAGGTAAAAAAGCTATCTGAAACGACGAAAGAGAAGGAAGTGCCCTGGGCAGATAATACAGATACTGCTCTCGAGTTATGTACGCTTTGAACAGTGAGTACACTCTACTATTAGAAACACTGATCCTAGAGGAACCTGGTGGAGATTCGTGACTGCTTGGTTATTTCTTAATTTCACTTTTTGTTTATTTATAATTGAAACTCACTAGCTATAATTATGATGACTCAGTTCTTAGAGATTGGTACATATCATCTAATAAAAAGTTCTAGTTTTGAATTACTAAATATCTAGAATAAATGGATGAAATATTAGAAATTATAAACAGCAAATTAAATGTTATATTATATACAGAATGAATCAATAGACTGATTTTTTTCAAATTCTGTGGCTAGTTTATAACGCCATCTGCGATATTATTATTCGGACGGTAAGAAGCAATCTGCCAATCCAGTCGCTAGAAGCACGCGAAAAAGATAGACGCGTCTGCAGAAAAAGAATATCAATCACAGTTGACCTTCACTCGTTAGACAAGTGGATTTGCAAGACTTTTGGCACATTTGTAAATCCTGAAAGAAGATGTAGATTTATGTGGAAAAGAATTTAAACTGAACGACGAGTTGATAACTTTCGTAAGGTGAGTGGTTATTTGTATATCAAGGATGTTTTTACTCAAGTTTACCCTCCTAGAATTTCTCAGTCGCTTGCACGAGAAACACTGCTATCGATAGAAAAATATCGCATATGATATGATATCACTCTTGCCATTTCTCTACCTCATAAACTGCGCATTTTCACACAACATTAAAAGTCTTGTCAAGCACTTCTGTCTTATTAGAAACAGAACGTTCTTTTCGTTTACTGACTTTGATGTTTTACCATTTCAAGAAACGAGTGTTGACTCATCAATTGCTGATCCAGAGATGACTTTTTCTGGTTACTCTCACGTTCGTCTAGATCGAAATCGACGTCGAGAAGGTCTCGCAACATATATTTCCTCCGCTCCTCAATTTTCAGTTCTTGATTTTTCTGACACTATCGAAGCTCTTCTAATACTTGTATAGTCTTCTTCATGTGATTTTGTTTTATGTAGCTGTTATCGCTCACAATCTGTTCATGTTCATCTCTTTGTTGATGTTCTTGAAAATTTTGATAGAGATTGGAGACCTTTGATGACTCTTACTATTCGTGAATAAACTTAACAATATAAAATATAAAGTGATTTCGTGTTAGATATTAAAATGCTGAAAAACTACTTTATCGTTAATAACAGTTCTTCGAATTAAACTTATAGTTTTCTAGTTGTTGAACATGTAGGTACATTATCATTTTCTGTTTTCATTTTTAGATAAACGTTATATTTTTGGCTCTACGTACTTTTTTTTCAAAGTAGAAGGAGCTCAAAAGAAATGTTCAAAAACTTAAAAGAGAAAATCTCAACACAAGTTACAAAAACCAACACAACATTACGGCCAGGCGTTAATTCAACTGAACAGGTTTTTTTTTGTTGTTATAAGAATGCTTAAAGAACACTGAATTAAATGTTACCAGCTGAATCAAATCGTGTATTTGTATCTCGTCTTCTAGTCAATAAAATTATTGTTCTTCTTTTTAGACATTAACGCAAATAAAAAATTACAGTCAGGACGATAACGTACGTAAGTTGACAATGGTCTTACATAGTTATAACTCTTACTGATGTAAAACCTCTTATTTTCTAATGAACTTAAATGACTTGCAATCAGTCTGATAAAAATTATAGATATTTGTGTTTAGCATTCTCGTTCACGTTTGAATTCCGCTTCATCCGATGTTAGCCAATTTAGTTTTGGTTATAGCCCATCAGCATCCAGTTATGCTTCACCCGATCGAATACATATACCGCCATCTGATATAGAATCGGAACACGAAGAACTAACGAGTGATCATGAATCCGGCGGGGTATTAAACGCATTTCGTAATTTTAAACCATGTTTCATTCTTTTTTTTATCTTACTCAGAAAATGGCTAAGGTGCAAAAGTTACTGTCAATATATAAAAATAAATTTAAACAACTCAAAGATGCCTACGATGAGTTAGATCGGGAAAAAGAACACATCAAGGTAAATGAGTGAAAGTATACTTAATGCTCTCATCCGTACTATATTCATACATCTTTATAGACTGTTCTTCAACAACAACAAGATCAATCTATAAAACGATTGAGCGAACTTCGTGAACAAATTAAATTAGACAGACAAACAAAAGAACATTTAGAACTACTTCATCAAAAAGAGTTAAGATCTAAAGACGTGAGAATCGATGAACTAAATGCTAAAGTATGTTTTTGTTAACTGCTTTGATTTATGAGATTATCAAAAAAATTGTTTTTAGCTTACGACGAACCAGAATGATTTGATTGATTTATCACACAAAGCTGATCAAGATGAGATAAAAAATCTGAAAGAAAAAGTCAGTTTAAGCGATTATCATGTGACTGTTCCATTGCTATCTAAAATAATTTTGTGCTCAAATTTTTAGAATATTAAACTTGAAGGCTTATTATCACGTTGTAAAGATGCCATCAAAACTTCTCAAGCAAAACAAGATGAGCTCGTTAAAATTCAAGAGGATTTAAATCAACGTTTAATAGAAAAAGAATCGATAATTGATTCAATGATGAGAGTAAGTAGCATTTTATTTTAGTACAGTGCATTAAAGCTCAAAGGACAAAAGCTTTTAGACAAGTCATCAAGATCACTTTAGTCTTAGACACCTTGTAAAGGGAGGATTAATAAGAAAATAATAGGAAAAACAACTGAATTAGAGCTGACTTCGTTCTTATTTATTAATTCCGATATACATGCCTTATAGGTTTTAAGTTATAGTATTGTTCCTGATCTCTGGAACTTTTCGAAAACGTCTGTATTGCAGTGATAGTTACTCAATTCGACTGCCGAACAAATTAATTTTTTTACCGATAGTATTGGTACTTTTTTGAAAATACGTTTTCTGAGATTATTTCGGCTTTTGAACCGACATGTTGTGTGATTAACAACGTTGAACTGAAACATAACACACATACGCATTTACACGATAAGCCTTCTATCTGTACAGTTCCTGGGGTATTTTGACTTACAGGTGTTCGACATTCTGAAATAACGATTGTTCTTTAGTTATATTTTGTTGCTATTTCGACGGACGTTTTGAGAAATAAAGCTCATTGTATTACGTTTATGAGATTTCTAACTAAAATACTGTTATGGTGCGTTTATTTAGGAGAAAAATCCTGGTTCAACAAATGGAAATAGTAAACATTTTGAATCTGAAAACGCCGTTTTATTAAAAGACAAAGAACATTTACTTGAACAACTTGAATCCGCACGCTTTTCTGTACAACAACTTGAAAGTGAGCTAGAAAAGACAAAACAAAAACAGATAACAGATGAAGAACAAAAACAAAAGCGTAATGACGATATTATTACGATAGACGAGAGAGAGGATGATTTAGCGAAGAGATCAGTCGAAAGCGCTCATTTACAAATGTTATCAGATGGAACTGAGAGAGAAAGTGATTTATTGAAACAAAAGCTTGAAGAACTAGAAGAGCAAAAATATCAAAGTAAGTCATTGAACACTTATGTTTTCCCGCAGACTGACTAGTTCATTTTGTTTTCTAGACATACAATTGAAAATGTCTGTCGACGAACATATTCAACAAATAAACGTTTTAACAACAACCATTGAAACACTAAAAACTGATTTGGATGAGCGACAACAAGAAATCAACGATCAGAAATCATTGATTCAAACACTAAACGGCACAATCAACGATTTTCAAGTCAAGTACGATGAGTTGACAAAGAATATTGAACAAGATGCGAAAGATAGAGAAGAGCAAGATCATTTGCGAGAGAAAGTCAATCTCGAGCATCAACAAAACATTGATAGTGTGAAATTAGAGTTCCAGAAGAAGCTTGATGAACAACAGGCATTTCAAAGTGGAAATGTCGACAAGCTTAAACAAGAATATGATACATTAATCAAACAAAAAGACGAAGAGGTACGTACACCAGCCTGTAGATCGTGTATATTTGAATGGAAGATTGTATATTGAAAGATATGTACTATTTTGTTTCATTTAGATCCAGTCATTTACTCAACGGTTATCATCTGAACAAACTCGTTGTATGTCACTAGAAGAGACAATTGAGAATGTGAAGAAAGAGTATTCATTGAGTGAGAGTGATTTGAAGACAAAGATTGCTAATCAACAAGCAGATATCGATCGATTAGTGGAAGAGAGAATGAGATTAACTGATGAAATATCCTCAATCAAAAATGTTTTGTCAAATATTGATCTAGATAGTTCGAAGAGTGATAGTATCACTGAAAATATTCAATGTTTATCCAATGAAATAATTCGGTTACGAGTTCAAAGTGATAATTGTAGGCATGAATTACATTCATTTTTCGACAATGACACTGAATATGGTGAAATTTCAAAGATGATTGTACAAATGAAAGATTCTTATTTTAAAATGGAAGAAAAGTCTTTAAAATATGAACATGAGATTGATGAACTACAAAAATCTGTTGATAGATGGAAACAAATAAATGAAGATGAGGAGACTAATGAACTAAAGAAACTTCAGGAAGAAATTGATTTGTTGAAGAATGAAAAAAAGGAAAAACAAGTCTCTCTTGATGAGCTGAAATTGAATGTTCTTCAAAAAGAAAGCGATATTAGTCAATTATCAGAAAAATGTGAACAACAGGAAGTAACAATAGATAATTTGAAGAAAAATGTGAAGCACTATGAGATCAGAAGTACCGAAGAAGAAATTGTTGTAAGAATGAATTATAAAAAAGATATCGAAAAATTAGAAAATGAAATTGATACATTGAAAGAGACATCGAATAATGAACAAAAGCGATACATCGAACTAGCGAATCAAACCGACACAATGAAAAACGAATACGAAAATAAAATTAATCAGTTAACAACTGAACTTAAAGAGCAGATGGAAAAAATTCAAAAACTAGATGAAATAACAAATTTACAAATATCATTAGATAATGTCAGCAAAGAACGAGATGCAATTAGACAAAAATATGATGAATTGAAACAAACAACGTTAGTCAAGCAACAAGAATATGAACAGCAAGGTACATTTTAGATGTACTAATTCTCTTATGAGATGTTGTTGTTCGTCTAATGCACATAGAACACATGACCTAAATTGCTTTGACAAAGCGCATGTGTATATCGCGCGTAGACTACATATAGATTTTTTCAATAAGTTCGCACGCTTTAAATATTAACGCGTTCTAACTATTTATTCATCGTTTGGTTAACCGATGTTTCGCTAAACCGAATAAACTAAAACATTGGTTTAAGCCGATTATTAGTCATATCTTTCAAACGAATGTTCTTTTTTTCTTCTTTTCAGACATTCATACAAAAACGTCTTCTGATGACCTTATTCAACAAATAAACGTTTTAACAACAACCATTAAAACACTAAAAACTGATTTGGATGAGCGACAACAAGAAATCAACGATCAGAAATCATTGATTCAAACACTAAACGGCACAATCAACGATTTTCAAGTCAAGTACGATGAGTTGACAAAGAATATTGAACAAGATGCGAAAGATAGAGAAGAGCAAGATCATTTGCGAGAGAAAGTCAATCTCGAGCATCAACAAAACATTGATAGTGTGAAATTAGAGTTCCAGAAGAAGCTTGATGAACAACAGGCATTTCAAAGTGGAAATGTCGACAAGCTTAAACAAGAATATGATACATTAATCAAACAAAAAGACGAAGAGGTACGTACACCAGCCTGTAGATCGTGTATATTTGAATGGAAGATTGTATATTGAAAGATATGTACTATTTTGTTTCATTTAGATCCAGTCATTTACTCAACGGTTATCATCTGAACAAACTCGTTGTATGTCACTAGAAGAGACAATTGAGAATGTGAAGAAAGAGTATTCATTGAGTGAGAGTGATTTGAAGACAAAGATTGCTAATCAACAAGCAGATATCGATGGATTAGTGGAAGAGAAACAACGTCTAACCGATTGGTCATTGACGTTAAAAGACACTCTATTGAACAGTGGTGTCCGTTTCGAAAAGAGTGATGATGAAATTGGGAACTATCTAGCTGAATTGATTAATCAATATCAGAAACTGACAAGGGAACAAGAGTCAAATGAACAACTGATGCTTGATTCTAATAAGGAAATTAAAATGTTAAAAGAAAAACAAAGTTATAATGAGGAAGAAATTAGTTTGTTGAAGAGTCAATTGGAAATAAATTTAACGAATAAAAATAATGAAATTGAATTATCAAAGAATCAAGAAAAACAATATAAACTACAAATGGATGAATTAAAAGTTCAATTAAATATGAGTTTAGAAGAAGCTGAGAGATATCAAGCAGCAGTGGAAACATTGGAGAATAAACGCAATGCGAAACAGAAAAAAATTCAAGAACTAACAGAACATCTTAAAACATATTCAAATGAAGTTAATAGACTACAACTAAATTTAGAGGAGAAAAATAAAGAAATTGAACAATTGAGACAAGATCTCCAAAATAAATCAGATCAAATGCATGAACTAAAGGACGAAATTGATACGCTAAAACGTCAACAAATAATGTTGAATGATGATAATATTGAAAAAGAGAGACTCTTGTTAGTGCATAAACAAACAGCTGATGAACTAACGAAAAAAGCCAATGACATTCAACAGTATGATAGTATTATGAATAATTTGAGAGAAGAACAAATCAAATTACGAGATGAAAATGAACAGGCCACAACACGAATTGAACAATTATCTATGGAATTGGAAACGGTAATAAAAAAGAACAAAGATTTTAAAGATGTTCAAATGCAGAAAAATTTGTTAGAAAATCAAATTGAACAGTTAAGAACAGACAATAAACAATTATTTGAAGAACATGAAGCGTTACAACAAAAATTAAATACAACATTAATAGATAAAGCAGAAATGGAAAATGAATTGGATAAAATACGAGTTCAGTTGCAAAAAACAGAAACCGTATTGAATATAAAACGAAAAGAAGACGAAATAAAGCTAAAACAAACATTAGAATTGAGTGAACAAAATGTTAAACATTTACAAGTAAGCTTCTTTTATTTTTATTGCTTTTGGTCAGAATAACTATATTCATCAAAGATTTTTTTTCTTTATTTAGCACGAATTGAAAACATATCGTTTTGAACTTGATACAAAATCAAAACAAATGGAGGAATATCGTAATGAAATTAGCATATTGAAAACAAACAATGAACAACGTGAAAGTAGAATAAATGTCTTAAAAAATCAACAGATTGAATTAGAACATAATGATAATGAAAAAGAACGTCAAATAATTGAAAAAGATGAAAAAATATCTGAATTGGAAATAGCATTACAACAACAACAGGAAAGTACAACAAAATTAAGAAAAGCTTTACATAAAATGAAAGAATCTATGACAAACAATGAACAAACGCAATCGAAAGAGATTGGTTAGCATTATTCTGCAATTAATTATGACAAATTGATATTAAGGATTTATTTTTTAGAAAGGTGTTTAAAAAAATTATCGATTGAATACGAAGAAAAATTAGCTGAACAAGAACGAGATTATAACGTGAGATTAAAAACGGCAACGAAAGAAATGACTATTCAAATAGAGGAGAACGAGCAACTATACAATAAACAACTAAATGAACTTATTGGTAAAATAAATTTAAAAGAATTTATATTTTGATGAGTAATGATGTTTCTATTTATAGAGAAAAATTATCAAGACGAGAACAGTTTAAAACAAGATAATGAAAAACGAGTAAATGATGCCGATCAACGAACATTGATTGTCCAACAAGAAGTTCAAAAATTACGTGATAAATTACAAGTAAGGACAATATGCTGATCTAGACTCTGGTATATTTCTGGACATATTGTATATTTTTTGTTTGTTTGTTTATTTCTATTTAGGAACGAGAATTAGAGTATCATAATACTTTGGCTGACCTTAAATTGAAAATCACTGAATTGACACAAAAACAAGAAGAAATGATTCTTACTGCCACCGGCTCCAAATTCATCGAAAATAGTGATGAACATCGAACAAATATAAATTCATTAAACAATACTGAAAAGTAAGCCTTGAAATCCATATATTTACAAATGAATGTGGAATGGGTCGTCGTTTTTTCTTCAGATCATTTGATGATCAAACAACGACGAATAAAGATGATTCTCACAGCATACATGTTTTAGCATCAGTGAGTTGTTAACTATTCTTTACTAACATGAACGTCAATATTTAGACTGATGATATCTTTAATTAAATTTAGACTCAACTTGATCAAAATTCTGTTTCATCTAAGTTGTCTTCCAATATGAAAAATATATTAAATTCTGACTGGCCAGGTGAAGGATCATTGAACAAAACAAAACTTCAATATATTATTCATCTCGTTCTTTTAGATGCTACAACAAGTCCCGTACGTTATGGATTAAATGACAATCTTCATTCATTCATGTTTGAAGCAACAGAAGTCGATTATCTCAAACAAATAGTTTTGGCTTATATGACCGGAACAGAGCCAATCGTAAGTTTTCTTCTTGTTTCATGATGATGTATATTGTAACTGATGGTAGCTTCCGATTATTTAAAAATTTACTTTCATCGTAT